AACGTCAGCCTTCCTGCTCCTCTGATGCTGCTTGGCCTGCTGTGTTCATCCAGCTCTACACCTTGTTATATTGGTTTACATCCTTGTTTAGACATCTTCACATATATGGGTAAGATGTATGTTGTGTCATCTGCAAATTTAGCTATCATTGCCTTTAAGCCTTTCATACAAGTCATTGATATAAATGGTAAAAAGTTGACAGGTCAGCACAGATCCATTCGTTACAATCTGAAAAAGGCCCATTTTAAGAGTATTCCATTTTGTTTTTTTACCAGCCAGCCATCCAATCTTCTATCCTTACCAGTATGATGTCCCCACATTGTGAGATCCCACTTTGCGTAATAATCGATTATGTGGAATCTTGTCAAATGGAATCGTTGAAATTCAAATGCAGTACATCAACAGGGTCTTCTATAGTCAAAGTACATGTTTCTCCTTGAAAGAAGTTTTGACAAATTGGTTAAATTCCATTTCCCTTTCACAAAACCATATTGACTCTTCCTGATTATGGTGGACTTTTCCCAATTACCCAGTTATAATCTTCTAATGATCAATTATGACATCTTTCCCAAGACAGTCATCATACTTTCATATTTTCTGCCTCTTGAGTACAGTGATTATATTTGCTAGTTTTCAGTCTAGTGGAACCTTAGCAGAATCTAATGAATTATGGAAAATTAATAGCAATTCATCAACAAACCTCATTAGCCTACTAAAGAGCCTAGGAATGAAGTCTAACAAGATTCAGAGATATATTAATCTGTGGCTTCATCAGTTAAGTTCAGTAGATTCCCTAGTTTCACCAAGTTCTTCTCTTCTTTCAACCTCGTGATTTATTGGCATAACAGATTTTTTTTGTGTTTTCTTTGGTGTAGGTAGAAGCAAAATATTTATTCATTTATATCCATAATTTTTTTTTACTATTACCTCCCCATTCTCACCCGTTTGAGAACTAACTTAGACACCTATAGAAAAGCCACTTAACTGTTCCCCTACTATGAGCTCCCTACACAGGTTCCCCAAGGTCAGCTGAGAATTTCACCGTTTATTTATTTTTCTTAGAAAGATCTCTAATGTCCTTCTGAAATTTCCCTTTAAATGTCTGCCACTGCTTCTCTATCATCCAAGCTCACTTAAATCAATTCAGCTGTTAGACCCACATAGTTGCCTTTATTTAAGATACCAGTCTAAGACCCAATCTTCTCCCTTTCAAACTGCATGTAAAATTCAATCATGTTATGATTGCTGCTACACAGCTGGGCCTTCACTCTGAGCTCAATAATTAGCCATGTCACATTAATAATATCAATTCTAGAATAGCCTGCTCTCTGGTTGTTTTTAAGAATATATTGTTCTTAAAAAGAGTACCTTGAAAGCATTTTATGTACTCATCAAGGCAACTATTACCAATCTGATTTTTCAACTTTACATACGGATTAAAAATAATCCATGATTATTACACCTAACATGCCAACTGGTTGTTTCAGTGAGTAATATTGAACAAGATTATCAACAGAACTCTATATTCAGCCGCCAATAATCTTAAAACAGGTAGGCAACAGCACAACTAAAAATCCCACCTTGGAAATGGTAATTCATGAAACTCGTACATTTTTTCCAACTTTACTTCAAATAAGTATTTGACAGGTTGACAAGCATTATGTGCATGTACTTTCTTATTTAGGATCTGAATTGCACATTAGCATCACTTTGACGCTAAAAGCAAAAGTTTTCCTTTAGCATGGTTAGGACAAGTTTAATTTATCACATCATTAGTAATAGCTGCCATCACCATTTATGTTGGTATTTTTTAAAAATTGGCTTCAGCTCCAGATCTTCAGTTAGCTTGTTTTATGTTAGCTTATAGTTCATTCTTAAGCACCAGCATTGCAAATTAATCCTGGAGGCATTTTCTAACAAAATAACACAATTGATTCCCTTGGAAAGGACATCACTGTTTTCTTGAGGTCTTTAGAGAGAAAGCATGGATTCATTTAGAATTTCAAGAAAAATTGGGATTATTTTAACAGGAGGAATTGGGTGTAGATTTAGTTATTTTTATAATCTTAGGAATATTAGTTATCAGAGGGGGAGAAAGCAGTCTTCCTTAAACCAATCATGCACATCAGATTTGTGATAAATGAGCACTTACTCATATGTGTTCCCATTCAGTTTACCTCTTCAATTAAAAATACTAGCCAACACAAAAATTAAATAGATGTTTCATTCACATACAGGCAAAAAAGGAATGGAACTATCGTAAAATGATTTTTTAAATCAACATTTGTGCCATGCAGAAATAAAATATCTAAACCCATTTTTACCATGGGCAATGTATAATTTAACGGATCTAAGATAATGTTAATACAAAGTTAGACTGCTTTGTACTGCAACTATTAAAAAGGAAGTGCACTGTGAATAATTTTATTTGCACATAAACAAAATGTTAAAAATTAACTGAATACCATCACTTCTCACCTACTAAGGAACTGCAAGTTTTTAAGTTTCTCTACATTTTTATAAAGTGCTAATGAGGTTCTCTGCTGAATCTGATCCAGCCTCACACTCTGAATCAATGCTGAACCAAAGAAGAAAAATCTCAGATTTGTGGCACCTCATTTGCTGACCTAGTTGGTACCAACTATGTCAGAATAGTGCAGAGCAGAGACTAAGAGATAACAAGGTGTAGAGTTGGATGAACACAGCAGACCAAGCAGCGTCAGAGCAGCAGGAAAGCTGACGTTTTGGGTCTGGACCCTTCTTCAGAAATTCAAAATTCCTCTGATGCTGCTTGGCCTGCTGTGTTCATCCAGCTCTACACCTTGTTATCTCAGATTCTCCAGCATCGGCAATTCCTACTATCTCAGAGCAGAGATTAAGCCTGGGAACAAATTTACCTTGTGATCTTCTGCCTATATCATTGAATGCTATACCTGGTTGGGTCTTAATTCTAAAATGGTGTCAAATTACATTTACAACACAATAATTTTTGGTTAACCTATGCTCAATTCCACAAAAATAAAAGGAAAATCAAATAACCCAGTGCAAGTAATATGAAATTAAGCTTCTTTGGCACAATTTCAATTCAAATCAAGCTGGTTGAAATGAACAAATTGAATTAACAAACTGTATCCTTCATAATTTGTTAGTCTTGAAGTCACATTGTAAAGTTAATTGAACATGTACTTTAAAATGGAAAACAACGAACTAACAAAAGCAACAAACAATCGTGGAAGAAGTCCAAATGGGAGCCAAGATGCAATGAGGTCATTTCTTAATAACAACACCAGATAAAGTACAATCCAAAAATAAAAAGGACCAAAGAATCCCAATTTCATGTTGCACCACTATGACGATATTAGAGGAAGTTCTGAGAAGGTTCACTAGGTTGATTCCAGGTATGGAGGGGAGGTTGAGTAGGTTTTGAATGTACTCATTGGAGTTTAGACAAACGAGAGGCAACCTTATTGAAATAGAAAGATTCTGAGGGGACTTGACAGGGTAAATTTGGAAAGGTTGTTTCCCATTGCAAGAGCGTCCGGAACGAGAGGGATTAATTACAGAACAAAGAGTCACCCGTTTAAGACAAAGAGGAGGAGAAATTTCTTATCTTGGGGGGAGTGAATCTGTAGCATTCCTTAGCAGCGATAGGGGTGGGTCAGTAATTCAAGACTGAGATAGATAAGATTACTTTTTCATTAACAAGAGAATTGTGGATAAAAGGCAAGAAAATGGAGTTGAGGATTATCAGATTAGCATAATATTGAATGATGGAGTAGACACAATGGGCACATTGGCCTACTTCTGCTCCTGTGCCTTATGGTCTACCACACTCTCACTCACAACTATCCCACTTATAAGGTCTAATACCTGGGTAACCACACAATTCAATCAGTAAAATTGCTTACAGTAATACAGGGATGGGCTCGATAAAAGTGGTGCATTACTGTACTGAATAGCAGGGCTGGCTTGATGGGCTGAACAGCCTATACCTGTTTGTATGTTCCTATATTCCTAACATCCATCAATCCAACCCAACCACCGCTACTACCCCTCCTGACTATCCATTATAACTCAACTACTGACCTCACCTGCCCTACTAACCTCACCCATTCTCTAGCATTCAGATCAGACCTTAAAACACACTGCACGGAAACCCGTGCCATAAAAGGTGGGCATGTGCTATCTTCCCCTGACTCCAAGCTATTTCATCACTCCTGCGCTGTGTGATCTTCTGATCCTGCTGTTAACAGATGCAAAAAGAACATGCACCAGCATCAGGTTGAAGGAATTTTGAGTACAGTATGAATCCGACCATCATTGCTGTTCCTTGGAAGATCTGGCCACTTTGCTTTGATAAAGTAAACAGTCAGTTTTCAATCTGATTATTTCTACAGAAACTAAAGAATACATGGGTCCATATTTGGAACACAGACATCTAGTAACTCAGATATGGGGTCATTGTTTATCTATGTTTTCATTTGCTTCACTGTCTAACTAAACTATTAACTTCTTTTTTGATTCAAATATTAAATTACAATATTGTGAATGGTTACTGCATCATAAAATCCAAATAATACAACTAAGGTGGTTACTTGGCTCATCAAGTCCGTGCTAGCTCTTTCAAGAAGAGTAATCCAGATGTCATCACCTCCAAGCTCTTTCTCCATTGCCCTGTATTTCTTTTTTTCCTTTTGTCAAGTATTTATCCAATTCTCTTCTAAAAGCTACTATCAAGTCAGTTTTTAAAAAGTAAATTGGAAAAAGTTTTGAACAGATAAATTGCAGCAATAGGATGGAAACAGAGAAGTGGGATTGACTGGATTGCACTTTTAAAAAGTTTGGCGTAACCTCGATGCAGTCTGAAGTAATATTTCATTCTACTATTCCTCGCATTATAACTGTTCTGGATTAACTGCAGTCATGACAGGAAGAACAGTACTGTCCAATTTTTCTAAGCAAAATTAAGGGAAAGCAATGGCCTTGTGGTATTATCATTAGACAATTAACCCAGACACCTAGGCTCAAATGCATAGCAGCTGGTGGAATTTGAATTCACTAAAAATCTGGAATTAAGGGTCTAATGATGACCATGTTGATTAACAGAAGAAAAAAAAAATCAGGTTTACGTGCCTCCTTTACATAGGGAAATCTGCCATCCTTACCTGGTTTGGCCTACATGTGACTCCAGAACCACTGCAGTGTACTGACTCTTATCTACCCTACAAGCGATTACAGATGGGCAATAGGTGCTGGCACCCACATTCCATAAATTAATTTTTAAAAAAGCAAAGCTCTGAAGAGGATTAATGTTAACGCAACTCTGAATGGAGAACATAATCAATACCAATATTCAAATATTCAAAATGCAGACCCAAAGACTCAATAATTATTAATACGACATTCACCCCAACAAGTGTTTGTAGATTCCTCCCACTCTACTTCACATACCTTAATCTATGCAGACTTTTACCCCTTCCTCCTTAATGTGTTTATCTAGATTCCCCTTTTGTGTCAATGTTAGTCTCACATTCTCACCACTTTGGATTTCTCCTGAATGACCTATAGGATTTGTTGTCACTGCCTTGCTCCAATGGCCCCTCTCCACTACATATTTGTAGTTACATTGATTGATTCCAAAATTGAAAAGACATTTGGGGCAACATTAAGAACAAAATAGAAATCTCATGACTTTCCAATGCCAATGTTGAAGACTGTAATTAGTAACCACTCTGGATGACGGGATACAACAAATACACAAATTTGCCAATGGCACAAAGAAAGGCAGCACAATAAGCAATGTTATTTCATGCTTCCAGCCACTAAATTAATATAAACGGGTACATCAAGTTAACAAAAAGGCTAATGGAATGCTGGTTACTATGCCTAAATGGCTGGAATACGAAGGGGTAGATGCAACATCTCACCTACACAAAGCCCTAGTTTGATCACGTGGTGTACTCTGCGCAGTTTTGAATTGACAGACAAATAGAAATAAATGGGCATGAGTTGCTAGCCATTACACAGCCATGGTTTTGAGATGATTGAGAATGGGGACTGAAAAGTGATATTTAAAGAAAGAAAAATGAAGTGGCATAGCTCTGTTAACAACAGATGAGATCAAAACAGTAATGAGAAATTATCTTGGTTTGGAAGATCTAATTGTCAAATCAAAGCACAAACAGAAAATGCTGGAAATACTCAGCAGGTCTGGCAGCTTCAAGATGGAGAATCTGCTTGTGTGGTGAAAATATCAAAAAGGAAAGAAGTCATTGGTGGAGTACTTTATAAGCCCTTTAACAAGAGACAAAAAGGTACACTGCTAGGAGTGTGCATCAAGAAATAATGGGTAAACTTGTAATAAAGGTACCGAAATAATCACGTGAAAGAATGAATGATTAATTTATCGTCAAATATATCTTGAAGATACAGTGAAAAGTGTTTTGTCACCACAGTCCGGCACCATTTTGATGTATGATAAGGATAAAAGAAATTACATAAATACGACTTCATCTTCTGTTCAAATTGGGCTCTTAAACACAGCTTCAGAGCTTCTGCAAGATCTCTGCAAGAAGTTCCACGCCTCAAGAAGTCCCATTTTGGGAATAGCAACAATGACGCCAAAGTCCCAGGAGACACCAGGTCTGCCACCACTGGCAGTCCAGGCTCCAGGGACTGCTGCCGACGCTGCAGCCAGCCACCGTACTGCCAACACCGCTCCAGCTTCAAACGTGAAGAAGAAAGGAAGAAGAAATAAACACGAAAAGTACATAGAGGAAACAATGCCGCTGGCCTGGAGTCCGAACAACACCTACCATGCCGGTGCCATCTTGAAAAAACAATGGTCATGTGATTTCAATCTTCATCGCTGGTAGATAAGTTGTAGGTGATTCTGAAAGATAGGATTTACATGCACTTGAAGAAGCAGCGACTGATTAGGGATAGTCAGCATAGTTTTGTGCGAGGGAAATCATATCTCACCAACTCGATTAAGTTTTTGAGGAAGTAACCAAAAAGATTGATGATGGAGGGCGGTAGACATTGCTTACATGGGCTTTAGTGAAGCCTTTGACAAGGTTACGTATGGTAGACTAATTAGTAAACTTAGATCACATGGGATTCAGGGTGAGCTTGCCAATTGCATACAAAATTGAATTGACGGTAGGAGACCAGAGGGTTGTAGGGGTAGTTTTTCCAGACTGGAGGCTCGTGACCAGTGGTATTCCACAGGAATCAGTAATGGGTCCACTTTGTTTGTCATTTATATAAACAATTTGGATGACACTATAGGAGGCACAGTTAGCAAGTTTCCAGCTGACACCAAAATTGGTGGACAAGTGGACAGTGAAGAAGGTTATCCAAGATTACAAAGAGATCTTATCAATTGGGTCAATGGGCTGAACAGTGGCAGATGGAGGTTAATTTGATATATGCAAGGTATTGCATTTTAGTAAAACAAACAGGGGTAGGACTTATACAAATAATGGTAGAGCCCTGGGTAATGTTGTAGAATAGAGAGACATAGGAGTTCAGGTACATAATTCTTTGAAATTTGTGTCACAGGTACACAGGGTGTTTAAGAAGGTGTTTAGCATGCTTTCCTTTATTACTCAGACCTTTGAGTATCTGAGTTCAGACGTCGTGTTGAGGTTGTACAAGACTCTTAGTGAGGACTCTTCTGGAATACTGTGCATAGTTCTGGTCACCCTGCTATAGCAAGGTGATTATTAAATTGGAGAGGGTTCAGAAAAGATATACCAGGATATTGCTGGGCCTAAAGGGTTTGAGTTATTAGGACAGGCTGGATAGGCTGGGACTTCTTTCATTGGAGTGTAGGAAGTTGAAGGGTGTAGTGTTTGGGATCAGGATGACCTTGTTAGCTACAAGGTTCTTGATCGGGGTTGTTAACCTGGGCCAATCAGGAAAGCCTAAGCTGACCAATGTAACCAGGAGACAGCAGCTCCCATAACAACAGATTGCAGTGGTTCACAGACTTCCAGTCCAACTGTCTGTTCTGCAGAGCTGCAAAGTCTGTGGACCACATAAATATTGGGTGTGGGGCCTTGCACCCCCTTTTCAGTTATCTCAAAGAGCTCCTTTTGTGTTTTTGGTTGCACTTCAGCCCCACGCTCCTGATCATTGGACACCGGTAGGGAGGGGGGCAGACAGGTCAGAGGATCTCTTCATGGGTCTGCCCCTGGGCCTGGCCAAGTTGGCCATTATTAGCTCCAGGCAGCGGGCTGTGGAGGGTGTCATTATGGCCGACTGCCTGTCCCTCTCCCACGGCTACGTCCGTGCCCAGGTATCCCTGGAGAAGGAGCACGCAGTGTGCGCGCTCCAGATGCCTCTTGGGAGAGGGGTGTGGAGTGCTTTTATCCCCCTGCAAACTCTACTTTGATTTGATCCCTACCATCCCCCTCACTTTTTCTTTCACATAGGCATTGCCCCTACAGGGGCTCTGCTTGATACTGGCTCCTTAGTCACATGGGTGTCTTTCCTGGTGGTGGTGTGCTAATAAAGTTATTTGCACACTTGGTGTTTTTAATGCGTCTCACACTTGCTCATACACAAGGGTGCTGGGGAAAATAAGCACTGCTGCTGTATGGCAGTAGTGTAGGGAGGAAAAAAAACAGAACCAGGAGTTTAGAATTTCCTCAGTTAAGACTGGATATGGCCGGCCAGCCAGCTCAGAGTCAGTGTACTGTGAACTAGTAAATAATAGGTGACTTGGTGACAGGGCCCAGCCTCTGTGCAGTTATTTCAGTGGCAACAGGAGAAAACAGGATGTGCCTGAGGAACATTCGCTTGGAACTGTTATCTTGGAATTGGGTAAGCATTTCTGCCTTCATGCCTCTGTTTGGGAAGCTTGACTCATTTGACCCTGCTGTCTAAGACTATGCCCAGTATGCGGAGAGAATGCGATATTTTTTCCAGGCAAATTACTTTAGGGCAGATGGAAAGGAACAAGTAGGCCTTCTGACTGCATGTGGACCCACAGCATTTTTGGTTATAAGGAGCTTAACTTTCCCAGAGGCACCATACACTAAAACCTTCCAAAAGTTGACAGAATTGGTTATGGAATATTATGACACTAAGCCTTCTCTAATCCTGAGATGCTATTGGTTTTATTCAGCTGTTACAGAACTGGGGGAATCTGTACTCGGATTTTTGATGAAGTTAGGTCTGGTAGAGGCATGTGATTTTGGGTTGATTCTGAATGAGATGCTGAGGGACCATTTGGTATGTGGGATTAATGATGTCACCATGCAGAAGCGCCTACTAGCTGAAGCCCAACTGGATTTCAAACAGGCACAGCAGCTGGCCTTGTCATTAGAACATGTGGCAAGTGGAGCATGGGAACTACAGGACATCCAATGGAAGTGGACACCCCCACCTGTCTGACTGAGCTTGGGGAACATCATGTAAGTGTAGGTAATCACAGAGCCTCGTGCAGGGCATGTCCTGAGCAGAGAGACCCTAGGCCAATGCACAGCAGAACCACACAACAAAGCCGAGCTTCAGCCAGATGGCTGATCGGTTCGTCAGGATCTGGGCTGTCGAGCCATTGTAGTTGCTGCCAGTACACGATCTCAAAACAGCAAAGGAGTCCTACAAGGGCTGACTTGAGTACGAAGACTCAGAATGGTACCCAGGAGAGTGCACACTCTGGAAAATTCTCCTACATGTGGGTTGGAACAATTAAATTGCTTAGTGCCACCCAAATGAGAGCTAAATAAAATTAAGGTTTGGTTAAATGGTCACCCAGTTACCATGGAAATTAGTACTGGCGCAGCTGTATCTACAGTTGCAGAATCTGTTTTTAACAAGATTCTCTCGGGTCTCCAACCTTTGAAGTTGCACAGGATCTCAGCCAGACTGAGAGCATACACCAGGTTTAACCAGATATTTCCAGACCTGGTGGGGTGGGGGCGAAACAGCAGCAGGAACACCAATGCCAGCCAAATGTCTTTAAGTGAGCGAGACGAGTGAGGAGATGAAGTTTGGTGCTAGAACCATGGCAATGGCCCTAAATGGGTACGAGGCGAGGTTGACACAAGGTCAGGTCCTGTGACTTACAAAGTTTGGGTAAGGTGATACAGTCCAAGACAAACACATGGATCACCTGAAAGCTGTTACCTTGCAAACAGGGCAGGAGCAAAACATACCTCACCCCTTAGAACAGTCCGAAGGCCCAGATGAAATCGCAGGTGCTCTCCCTCAGTCCAGTGTCGAGGAAACCTCAGAATCCTAAATGGATGCAGCCTTGATACCGTTGCTGCCAGGAAAATAGGAAGAGACTCTGCTGAGATGTTCCAGACGCAAGAGACAGGCCACAGTCTGGTACACACTGCCTGTGTCCAAGTAGGATTTGGAGGAACAGGGCCCGGGGCAAGAGCATCACGAAAGAAGCTACGTGCGAAAGACCAGGCCTACAACCCCGGGGGTGGGGGTGGGCTGTAGTGGGTGTAGTGATTGGGACCGGGTTGGCCTCATTAACTACAAGGTTCTTGATTGGCCCAGGTTAACAACCACAATCAGGAAAGCCTTGGCTGAGGATTGACTCTGAGTCGGCTGGCCACAGCCGGTGAACTGTGCACTAGTAAATAAAGGGTGACTTGGTGACGGGACTGGACCTCTGAGCTGTTATTTCAAGGGGTGACCTTATAGAAGTTTATAAAACCAAGAGGGGTATAGACAAGGTGAATAGCAAAGGTCTTTTCCAAAACTAAGGAGCATATTTTTAAGGTGAGAAGAGAAAGTTTTAAGAGGACATGAGGAGCAACTTTTTTTAAAGAATGGTTCATGTGTGGAATGCACTGCCAGAGGAAGTGCTGGAAGCAGGTACAGTTAGAATATTAAAAGACATTTTGACAAATACATGAATAGGAAAGGTTTGGAGGGATATGGGTCAAACGCAGGCAAGTGGGACTAGTTTAGTTTGGGAACATGGTCAGCGTAGACTAGTTGGACCGAAGGGTCTGTTACATGCTATATGAAACTGTAGATTCGGACAAATCAAATTGGCAAAAGTGGCCTTGAAAATGAATGCAAAGGTACTTTGGACTGTTTCTTGGATGACACATTCTGGAACCAACCAGGGAACAGGCTACTTTAAGCAGTGTAATGTTAAATGAGGTGGGATTAATGTTCACATTGTAAAGGCTCCTGTATCAACAAATGAGCATGACATGATGAATTTAATATTCATTTTGGGTGAGAAACTTACTCCTGAAATAAGTATCTAAGACTTCAATAAAAAGAATTATAAAAGATAGAGGGACAATTAGGAAACAGACCCTTCAGTCCAATATGTAATACAAGGAGAACTAGCTATTTGGATTCATAACTGACTCGAAGGTAGGAGACAGAGGGTGTTGGTGGTGGTGGTGGTGGTGGTGGTGGAGGGTTGCTTTCCAGACTGGAAGCCTGTGATCAGCGGTGTGCCACAAGGAACGGTGCTGGGTCCACTGCTTTTTGTCACTTATATAAATGATTTAGATACGAATATAGGAGGTATGGTTACTAAGTTTGCAGATGACGCCAAAATTAGTGATAAAGTGGACAGCGATGAAGGTTAACTCAGTACAACGGGACCTTGATTGGTTGGGCTGAAGAGTGGCAGATGGAGTTTAATTTAGGTAATTTGCGGTGCTGCATTTTGGTGGGGCAAATCAGGGCAGGACTTGTACACTTAATGGTCAGGTCTTGGAGTGTTGCCCAACAAAAAGATCTTGGAGTGCATGTGCATAGTTCCTTGAAAGTGGAGTCACAGGTAGGCAGGACAGTGAAGAAGGTATTTGGTCAGCGCATTAAGTACAGGAGTTGGGAGGTCACATTGCAGCTGTACAAGACATTGTTTAGTACACTTTTGGAATACTGCGTGCAATTCTGATCTCCCTGCTATAGGAAGGATGTTGTGAAATTTGAAAGGGTTCAGAAAAGATTTACAAAAGCTGTTGGCAGGATTGGAGGGTCTGAGCTAAAAGGAAAGGCTGAATAGGCTGGGGCAATTTTCCCTGGAGCATCGGAGGCTGAGGAGTGACTTTATAGAGGTTTATAAAATCATAAGGGTGAATAGCCAAGATCTTTTCCCCAGGGTAGGGGAGTCCAAAACTAGAGGGCATAGGTTTAAGGTGAGAGGGGAAAAATTTAAAACGGACCTAAGGGGTACCTTCTTCACAAGTGGTATGTGCATAAAACAAGCTGGCAGAGAAAGTGGTAGAGGCTGGTACAATTACAACATTTAAAAGGTATCTGGATAGATATACGAATAGAAAGGGTTTAGAAGGATATGGGACACATGCTGGTAAGTGAGACTGGATTAATTCAGGATATCTGGATGGCATGGACAAGTTGGACCAAAGGGTCTGTTACCATGCTGTACATCTCTGTGACTCTATGACACCACTTTCAAGGAACTACACACCTGCACTCCTAGGCGTCTTTGCTCGACAACACTTCCCAGGACCCTACCATTAACTATACACGTCCTGCCCTGGCTTGCCTTACAAAAATGCAACACCTCGCATTTATCTAAATTAAACTCCATCTGCCACTCCTTGGCCCATCTGATCAAGGTCTGGTTGTACACTGAGATAATCTTCTTCCCTGTCCACTAAACCACCAATTTTACAGTCCTCTGCAAACCACACCTCCTATATTCACATCCAAAACATTTATTTAAATGACTACAAGCGGAGGATCCAGCACAGAGGATCTGCTGGTCACAGGTGTCCAGACCAATAAGCAATCCTCTACCCCACTGTTCTGTATCCAGTTGGCTAGGTCCCCCTGAATTCCACGAGATCTAACCTTGCTAACCAGTCTACCACACGCACCCTTGTCAAACGCCTTGCTGAAGTCTATATAGACCACGTCTACCACTCTGCCTTCAACCTTCTTGGTCACCTCTTCAAAAAAAACTCAATCAAGTTAGTGAGACACTGTTTCCCATGCACAAAGCTATATTCATTATCCCCAATCAACCCTTGCCTTTCCAAATGCATGTAAATCCTGTCCCTCAAAATACCCACCACTGGTGTCAGGCTCACCAGTCTATAGTTCCCTGGTTTTTCCTTACCACCTTTCTTAAATAATGACACTACATTAGCTACCGTCCAGTCTCCAGCACCTGACCCATGGCTGTCGATGATACAAATATCTCAGCAAGGGGCCCAGCAATCTCTTCCCTAATTTCCCACAAAGTTCTGGGAAACACCTGATTGGTCACAGGGATTTATCTACCTTTATACATTTTAAGACTTCCAGCACCACTTCTTCCGTAATATGGACACTTTTCAAGGCATCACTATTCAAATCCCCAAGTTCGCTAGCTTCCATGTCCTTCTCCACACTAAATACTGACGCAAAATATTTGTTTAATATCTCACCAATTTTCTGTGGCTCCACACATAGACAGCCTCATTGATCTTTAAGGGTCCTGTCTCGCTACTCACTCTTTTGTTCTTAATGTATTTGTAGAATCTCTGCATTCTCCTTAACCTTTTTTGCCAAAGGTATCTCCTGTCCCTTTTTTGCCCTCCTGATTTCCCTTTTGAGTATACTCCTACTGCCCTTGTACTCCTCTAGGGAGTCACTTGACCTTACATATGCCTCCTTCTTTTTCTTGGCCATTGTTGAAATGTTTTGTTTTAAAAAGTGAATCAGGTATTGCATTCAGACTACCCTAGCATCTTTAACTCCCAAGATTCCACTTGTTACATCACATTTTTTAAAAAAGCAATAAAGTTTGCATTGTACTCTACTTTTTAAAAAGTGAGCCAAGAGATTGGGGACTAGATATAAAGGATAAGGAACAAAGGGAACAGAATAAAGGAGAGGAAGCAGGGCAGTGAATGGAGGCTGGACATAAATTGGGAGGATCAGAAGCCAGAAATAAAGGAACAAAAGCAAAGCAGCAGGAGGGTTCTGGAGAATGGACAGAAATTGAAGAGGCACAGAGCATAATTTTCCAATTCTCCTGGTACCAGAGGTCTGGAGAATTGCAGATGGTATACTCCTGTTTAAATATAGCTGCAAGCATAAGTCCAGCAATTACATACCAGTCAGTTTAGCCTCGGTAGCCTTTTAGAAACATTTATTCAGAACAAAATTAACAGTTACTTGGACAAATGCAGATTAACTAAGGAAATCTAGCATAATCTGTTAAAAGCAAAGAGCATTTAACTAACTTGAGTTTTCTGACAAGGTTACAGGTCAATGAGACCAATATTTTTGACATGGTACATATGGACTTCAAATATGTATTGATAACAGGTTTGTGAGCAAAATTAAAGGAAAAGGAGCAGTAGTGATATGGATAAGAACTTGACAGTCAGGAAATAAAAGGTAGTGGTTAAGGATAGTATCAAACTGCAAAAGCATAGAAGGTGGAATAGTGGACAAGTGGTAGGTGGGTACATGAAATTTAATGCAGAAAAGTTTGAGGAGGTCATTTTCATCAGGAAAACAGGAAACAAAAATGCAACATAAAGTGTACAATTCAAAAAGAAGATGGCAGAGTAGGTCAAGAGCATGCTTAATAAAGCACAAGTACAAAAATAAGGAACATATGATGAAATTATTAAAAACGGTTCAGCCTCAACCTGAGCATAGTGTTCAGGGCACTACACTTCGGAAAGAATGAGTAAACACTAGAGGAAGGGCAGAAAAAAGTGCATGAAATCAGTTCCAGAAAGGAGAGACTCCAGTTGTATAGATTTTTAGAAAACCCGAGACTGATGTCCTTGAAGAGATACAAAAACAGAGTTGCTGGAGAAGCTCAACAGGTCTGGCAGCATCTGTGAAGGGAAAAACAGAGTTAACATTTTGGGTCCGGTAACCCTTCCTCAGAACATCTCCTTGAAGAGATGTTTGAAAAGAGATTTAATGCAGGGGTCTGCATAAAGTAGACAAGAAAAATGGTTCCTATTGGTGGAAGGATTAAGAACCAGAAGACACAAATTTAAGGAGGTGATTAGCCAAAGAAGCAACAGCGACATGGGGAAAAAAAGCATTTTTTTTAACCCAGTGAATGATCTGGAATGTACTGCCTATGTTATCTGGTTACTGATCCTTCTGCCAACACAAACCATTTCACTTATTTATTGTCAAAATCATTTAGGATTTTCAGCATCTTTGATAATCTTTTCTGCTGTAAGGAGAAGAATCCCAGTTTCAAACAGTTATTTGGTATACAGATCTTGAGTATCGCTGGGGAATAAAAAAGACATTTGTCAAGCTTTTCAACTTGCACTCATCAGGACAATTAGCAAGGATACACCAAAGTAAAGGGATACATGAATACAATATGAGAGGAAAGTGGAATCTGATTGGTAGAGGTGCTACCACGGCAAATGCACCAATTAGGATAAGCGTCTTTTTTTTTAAAAGCAAAACCCCAGTTTTCCATATCACTAAAGTGTCCAATACCATTCTAATAAATTTCCTGTGTACTCACTATCCTTTATTCAAGGCCCTGACATCCTTCCTAAAATATAGTGTCCAGAATTAGACAGAGTTCTCATGTAATTCTTCTTCCCTAGTTAGTGACAGTAGGCCAATTCAAAAAAAAAATCATGCATTGCTTACATTAACATGGAAAACTGAAAATTCAATCAAGAACATTGTTCAGGCCTTCACCATAACCATGTACAGGTGTAGCAGCAGTAGCCCCATTTCCAAGTGAACATTAAATCCTGAAAAGACTGCAATAATTCCTCTTTTGGTCTCCAATCCTCTTAATTTTAAAGTAGCTTCTACAGGAGAGACACTGTTCACCAATATCTCTCACTAACAACAGCATTTTACAGATTAATTTTAACTTCATTCTCCAAATTTTAAAAGTTACTTCAGAGCAAATTTGATCAGGGTCAGCTTTGACAGTGATCTCAACTCTTCGTTAAAAGGCTATGATTTCAACTCCAGAAGTTCGAGCAAGGTGAACACTGACACTCCAATGTTGTCCTGCAGGTGGGCTCCTCTATCAGAGATACCAGCTTTCAGAGGGGACATTAAGGGGTTACTATTGCTGCATCACAGCTCTAGGGACCCAGGTTTGATTCCAGACTTGACTCACTGTCTGTGTGGAGTTTCCATGTTCTTGCCACGTCTGTGAAGGTTTCAGCTGGGTGCTCCAGTTTCCTTCCACAGCCCAAAGATGTTCAGGATAAATGGATTAGCCATGCTAAATTGCCCATAGTGTCCAGGGATTTGCAGGCTACGTGGCAAAATGAGGTGTGTGGGTCTGGTGGGATGGTCTTTAGAGGGTTGGTGCAGACTTGAGGCGCCATCTGGCCTCTATCTGCTCTGTCAGGATTCTATTAAAAACGAGCTCTGTCTGGCCTTAAACATGAATCTAAAAGATTTCATGCCATCATTTAAAAGAGCAGAAGAGCTCTCCTTCGTGTCCTGATCAATATTTATCCTTTTAATCAGTATTATCAAAATAGTACATTTGATCATTATCGTGCTACTGTTGGTTGGAGCTTGCTGTGCATAAATTAGTTGCCATGTTTCCTACTTTATAAACAGTAAAAACACTCCAAAAATGTTCAATCAACTGTAAAGTGCTTTGGACATCTACAGTGAATGCTGCTAATAAACACAAGTCCTTTTTCTCTATAAACAGATTTTATAAAATCTATTAGTCAGTCATATTAAAATTCCACTTCTTTTCATTCTAGGTATGTTCATCATTCACAATTGGCCTTGAGAAGGTGGTAGTGAACTGCATTGAACTGCTGCAGTACACCCACAGTAAGTACTACCAAGTGCTGTTAGGAAGGGAAGTCCAGGATTTTAACCAGCAACAGTGAAAGAACTGTTATATTTCCAAGCCAGGACAGCATGCAACTTGGAGGGGAATTTGAAGGTTAAGGTGTTCTCAGGCATTCACTGCCCTTTTTCATCCAGCTAGTAGCAGTTATGTGTTTAGAAGATAATTTTGAAGGCTCCTTTGCGAGTTTCTGAATTGCATCTCTTAAATGGTACATAATGCTACCACTCTGCTACCAGTGAAGTGAGTAAATGTTTAATGGGATGTTGATAAATTAGGTTGCTTTGTCCTGGTTGGTGTTAAACTTTTTGCAATGTCGTTGGAGCTGCACACACCCATACAAGTGGACAGCATTTTCTCATGTCCGGACTTGTGCCTTGTAGATGGTGCAACAGCACTGGGATGAAGGAAATGAGTTACTCTCCCCAGAATTCTTTAGCCTCTATATGGCTCTTGTAGCCACAGTATTTCTGTGGTTTGCCCGTAGCCACAGTATTTCTGTGGTTTGTCCAATTAAGTCTCAGGTCAACAAAACCTCTGGAACATTGACGATGCGGGATTCAATAATAGTAATATAATTAAATATCATCAGGAGGTGGTTAGATTCTTTCTCTTACTGGAGATGTTCTGGCATCTGTGACACAAACGTTTTTGCACACTTATCACCCAAGCCTGAATGTTGTCCAAGTATGGCTGTACCCAGTTACAGATTCTACATTATTGGGTAGACGCTAGTGTTGTAGATTTACTGGAATAGTTTGGCTAAAGATGAATTTAGAATAATTAAGATTTTCTCTAGATTTGATTTAGAAATCAGTTAAAGTACATATTATCTCACAAAAGCTTCCTGTTCTCAGTCATAATGTATTCATTGTAAAAAGTGCAAGTTAATTATCTGTAGTTCCAATCACAGCAACATTAGGCAAACTCTTTTCATCCTCAGTAAATCTCTTCTGAAATAATAACAATATCTTTAATGTGATTAGGGTGTTCTAAGCCTTTGGCAATGTTCATAATTGCTCAATGAAAAGACAAAATGAAGCATGAGACCTTAAAAAAAAATCAATTTGCGGATTTTACTGACTCAAGATCCTAGCTGAAGGGAGAGTTGGTACATTGCCTTGGATCACTACATTAGGAACAAAAACAAAAATACCTGGGTTCTCATTCCTGATCATTGTCTATTGACCCTGCACAACATATGAGTGCCTGTAGATGCCGGGTGCTAACAAGATAGGATTGTGTTAGAGGACTAAAAAAGTTTCACTTAATACTTAAGATTTACAAATAAGTAAGTTACTTATGGGTAAGTTACTTAAAAGTTTCTGACAGTCTAGGAACCATAAACAGTAATAATAACCAAAAATCCATCCAGACAGTGAAAAGGAATCAATGAAATTGGTTTATACCATTGCAAACACACAATAAGGCAGCACCATACACAACACTAATATGAGCTAGACTATAAGCCACATTGAAGGAACAAACTGCTCTGCTCTGGCTGAGACCTGACAGACTCAAGGTCAAATAGCCTCCTTCTGCACTGTAACCACTTTGATTCCACAAAAATGAATGACCACTTTAAAGGAACCCTTTAAAGGTAGTGCTAGGGAAAAATCTTGCATTTAAATTCGAAGATAGGGAATTTCAAGACTAGGAGGCACATTTTTGAAGGAGAGAGGAAACAGATTTAAAAAACACTTGAGGCAAATTGTTTTTACAGAGGGCGGTTTGCTTGTGGAATGAACTTCCTGATGAACTGGTGGAAGTGGGTACAATTACAACGTTGAAAAGACATTTGGATGGATATATGAATAGGACAGATTTGGAGGGAAATGAGCCAGGTGTCGGCAGGTGGGACCAGTTTAGTTTGGGATTACGTTCGGCATGGCCTGGTTGGACTGAAGGGTCTGTTTCCATGCTGTATGACTCAATGCAGACTAGGTGGTGATGAAGGCATTTGGCAGACTTGTCTTCATCAGTCACTGCATCGAGTACAGAAGTTGGGACATCATGTTGTCACTGTACATGACATTGGTGAAGCCACTTTTGGAATACTGTTGATCTAGAAAATATGTTGTTAAAACTTGAAAGGAGTCAGAAACGATTTACAAGGATGTTGCCAGGATTAGAGTATTTGAGATACAGGGAGAGGCTGAATATTTTTCCCTGGAGCACCGGAGGCTGAGGGGGTCTTTACTTAAGGTTTATAAAATCATGAAGGGCATGGATAGGCTAAAGAGCCAAGATTTTTTCCCAGGGTAGGGGAGTCCAAAACTAGAGGGCATAGGGTTAAAGTAAGAGGGGAAAGATTTAAAAGGGACCTTAGGGAAGACTTTTTTTATGCAGAGGCTGGTGTATGTATGGAATGAACTGCCAGAGGAGGTGGTGGAGGTGGGTACAATTACAACATTTAAAAGGATGGGTACATGAATAGGAATGGTTTAGAGGAATATGGATCAAATACTGGCAAATGGGACTAGATCAGTTCAAGATATTTCAATGAGTTAGACTGAAGGATCTGTTTCCGTGCTGTATAAAACTTCCCAAGATATTTCACAAGAGTGTTATCAAACCAAATATCATCCAGGATCTCTGCATGTATACCACTTCTTCCTAGCTATAATGAGTCCTTAAGAAGGGTCACTGGACTTTCTCTCCACAGATGCTTCCAGACCTGCTGATATTCTCCAGCAACTTCTGTTTTTGCTATTTATAATGTAACCCCTGAATACCTCAGCCTCAGTTTGCAGTGAGAAGTTAAATTCTTTTGGGTAGCTAGACTAACTTTCACTAACTTACACCTTTCTAGGCAATAATTAAGAGGAAGGCAACAAAGTTATAGCTTAATGTTGACCACATCCAATAAACACCATTACCATCAGGACCGGAAAATTGTTGGTGTGAAGTTTTCAACTGATACTATTCAACCTACACGAATATTCAGATACGGAATGCCGTTAGTACTAGTACTGCTTTATATATGATGTGTAGTGGACAGTACTGGCATTGTCTGAACCTCAAATTAGCACATCTGATATTTCATGGTAATGATCCAGATCTATAGGGCAGCTTCCCGCATTTCGCAAACATATGAATTAGTCCAACACCGGCACCTCCTCATCATGAATTACTTCGATAACTTACAAAATGCACCGCAGTACCAAGGAAATGACAAAATTTTGGAATTTGTTTTTTTTTAAATCCAGAATCGTGAAGCGCTTTAAAATACACAGTCATGATCGAGAAACCTGTCAGCAGAGAGTCAGAAGTGTGCAACGGATATATCTGCAGAACAGGATGCAATCAAGTGATTCTCGAGTTAAGAAATAAAGTTGGTTTACATATTCACACACATGAAGCAGATAAACTGCACGCGTGTTTTTAAAAGAGCGCAGTGACTGTCACGGTTTTGAGGCAGGGATCAGGAAAGCAGCCCACCCGTAGAGCGGGACAGGACGGAGATGAGGGAACAACTTGTTCAGACGGTGAGTGAGTATCAGGGAGGCAGGTGAAAAGGGAAAACGTGCCGGTCGCTCCCAACCTACCCTTCATCTTCCATAGTGTGGAGTGTTGGTGTTCGACGGCCGCATTCCCTTGGGCCCAGGTCCAAGTAGCCGGCCGGGGTGAAGGGTTAGTCTGGTCCAACCCGGCCCTGCTCACGGAGCCCGGACTGAGGGCCTCAGCGCGGCGCCATAGCAGCGGCTCGCGATCTCTCAGGACCCTGCCCTTAGCTCCCCGCCGCAGCGCCTGACTCCACAGTGTTGGCCGGTTGCCTGGCAGCGGGGCGAGAGACTCACCTGGCTCCTGGGCACCGTCCACCTCCACCGGTACCGGTACCGGTACCGGTACCACCGCTGCGAGATTCCGCAGCATTTCTCGCCGTGTTGCAGGGATTCATACAGCTCGCTGTACGGCGGGGAAAGGATTTGCTGCGCTTTGTGTTTTACCCTCCTTTCACCACCCGCAGCCCTGAACAAATCTGCCTCTCCAAAAGTTTTGTTTTCGAACGACTGGCTGCTGTTTCTCACTAGAAACTCACACGTTGTAAGCAACGGGGGAAAATAAGAGTGGCCAATGTCAGCAGACTGAGGTCAACAAACCAATCAAAGAAGTGCAACGTTCAACTAACAAGTAAATATTTGCTGATGTAAATTGAGTTGCTCTTGGCTAGGGAATTAGGTACAGGGTGGCGTGTATTCAATCAATAAAATATAACTATGCCTCTGGGAACAGTTTTGGGAGAGTTGACCTTCTGTGGGAATTCTTAAATTCCACCCCTTCCTCTCTACATTTTGTGATGTTTTTGCAGTTTGGAAGAATGATCTCACATATCCAGTCATCCCCAGAGTTTTATTTTTCCTGAGTAATCTGCTTTAAAGTGGTCGGTGAACTGTTTCTCTCTCCACAGATACACAGACCTGCTGACATTTGAAGCAAGTTCTGCTTTTAATTCATGAGAATTTTTGTTCATTTCCAGGTCACTGCCCAAACTCGCTTATAACCAACAGCAATCTACCTTTCTCCCGTTCTGTCCATAACCGCCAACCTGTGCATTGAGGATTCAGTATACCAGGAATTTTGGCTACACTCCCCAGTGATGTTTGGCAGCGTCAAAGCGTCATTCAGAAGATTCTACTAAAGTAAAACTAGAAGATTATATGGAACTTTGCAGCTAGCATTTACAGGTCTTGCACATTATTTCCGGAATAGGGAACACAATCGAGGGAAAAGGAGATTAAGCGGTTTTAAAAAAGTGCAAACTGCAAACAGGAACAATGAACAAAAGGCCACAAATAATAATGTAAGTCTGTACCACCAAAAATACACTATTACCTACTCTGGTCGCACTTTCCAGCAGCCGTGTTGCGGCCTAAACAAAGTTTTACATAGCTCGAAAATGACTTCCCTGTTCTTATAATCAATGCCACGACTGATTAGGGCATGTATCCCATATGCCTTCCTAACCACCCTATTTCTTGAATGATTACAGAGTTTATGCCCCAGGCCCTAACTGAGAAGTCTTTCCAGATATTTATTATTTCTGTGTGATAATTACTTCCTGTATCGTGCCTCAAACTTGTTTTTTTTTCACGCTCATGGTTAAACCTAACCCAGTGCTCTGGAGTTAATTGACCAGAAAAAAAATTAAGCACCTTTAATTCCTCTATCAAGTCCCGTTTCATTCTTATCTTTTCAAACTGGAAATTTCTGATTTTTTTTTTTTAAAAACCTCTTGCATTATTCTGGAACAGGTCATCTCTGCTTCTTGCAGTATTTTCGTTCTGTCTCAGTGATCAAAGATGAACATGACCAGAAGTGAGTTTAAGGAGTTTAAGAGTGTTGTGGTGACTCCTACGACCGCTGGGCATCAGAGTGGCACAGAAGCCCACGTCAACCCTACGACAACTGCTCACCTGAACTAAAGACCCACTCCCTGCCATGGACAGGACCAATGTCAACTACAAAATCCCCTGCAGTGACTGTGAGAAACATTACATCGGACAAACAGGAAGGAAACTAACAAGAGTACAACTGGCTACAAAAAGACACGACCAGTACTCACTCATCTCAATCCACATGGACAAGGAGAACCACCATTTTGACTGGGACAACACCAAAATCCTGGGTCAAGCTAGGCAGAGACAGGCACGAGAATTCCTAGAAGCCTGGCACTCCACGAAGCGTGCTATTAATAAACATATTGAACTCGACCCCATATACATTCCACTACGAAGAAAAACCGGAAGTGAGGCAATCCATCTCAACGGACCCCAGAGTTTAAAAACCAGGCGGGAAAACACACCGACGCTTCGTCGGAGGCTGCACGGAGGATGTTACCCAGCATGGTAATGAAATGTCTGCAAAACAAGAAACCAGCTCGGCAAGCCAACCAACCTCAACACCCACAATCCGAGCTACAAATCTACTCCAAAACCTTATCTTGGAATCGTACAGCACATAAGGTGACAGCTCAACCCACTATGCCTGGGATGGATCTTTAGAAGAGTCATCCAATCAGTCATTTTCCTCTGTAATATTTTCCTCTAGTATTTATCCATTCCTCAATTGTGACTATTCAAACTGTTTCCACCATCGTTTCAGGTAGTATTTTCCAGATCAAAAATCCTCTTAAATCTATGTCCTTTGATCATCATCTATTTTGGCATTGAAGAGTTTCTCTTTATTTAGCAATTCATGATTTTGAACATCATTACCAAGTTAAGGTGCTCTTCTCAAAGACAGCAGCCTATGAATTTAACCATTTTACATTGTGATTTTAAAATGCCTGCTTTTGGTCATTATCCAGTCCTGCTAGAAAGTACAGCAGACATAAAAGAGGAAAATAAGATCACTTTTAACTAACAGCCAACATTCACTGACTCCCCTCATACATAAAGAATAACAGCTTAGATGCAAAAACAGTAGCCATGGAACCATAACCAGCATGATCAGTTATTGACCCTGGAAGAAGTACAGTGGAACAGGATTTCAAGCAACTACTTTTTTCCAGGTTTAGCATCAGCATTATTTATATAAAAAGGGAAGACACACAATTTCATATTTTCTATGCATAAGACCCGCGTCCTCAAGAATTTCCTCGGTAACACTTTGCTGATCCATGCAGGGAGGGGGAATTTATTTGCACCAAAGAATGACAAACAAATAGAAAAAAAAAAGTTACATTTTCAACATATTTTGTAATCCACTTACCAGAATCCATGTCAGTTCCAGCTCTAAAGTTCAGACATTCATGTATGACAAGATTAAGTTGCATATTTGAACTTCCAGAAAGAATTTCATTGCAGACTTAATGATTTTTTTTAAAACTCTTTTCATCAGACACTGGTATCACTGCCAAGACCAGCATTTATTACCCATCTGTAATTGCCATGGAGAAAGTGATGATGAGCTGCCTCCTTGAATCTTTGCAGTCTAGGTGATTGTTTGCAGTGGTGTTTTGTGGGGAAATGAAGGAGTTTGACCCAACAATGAAGAAGAAATTAAAGCACATAATATTAAGCAGCATGATACAGCTTGGATAGGAAGTTGGTTAAAGTAACAAAAAAAGGAAATAATGGTTAATGGATCTTTTTCGATAGGAGTGATACAAACATTAGTTTTCTCTTGGTTTTTACATCTTAATGATCTGGACTTAGGTGGCAGGGCATAGTTTCAAAATTTTCTGCCAATACAGAAAAATGATGCATTGTTAACTGAAGTGGCTTCAGAGGTCCATAGACAAGTTAATAGATTCCCAAACAAAACTGACACATTTTATTGCTGAGAATGTGTCGTATGTCACTAAAATGATAGGAGAAGCACAGACTGGTTCAAGAATACACGTTTTTCAGAAGTTCATCCATTTGTTTAAAAAAAAGCATGCAAATGCTAAGTTTGTAAATGATGATTATAGATTACTAAAACAATGGTCCAACAGTGAACCCATGAAGCTCATTACTAAGGCCAGAAAAATCACCCCACCCCCATTCCAGGTTACATGTGCTTTATCATATTACCTTAGCTACACTGAGATCTTCAAATTTGGTTTCTCCCATTATTTCTTTAGCACCTTGCTTTGTTTCAATATCTAAAACATTTCATTGTCTAAGCCTCTTATTTTAAAATCATTGTCTACTCACTTCCAAGTTACTACAGATATGAATGGAAACGTCCATGACCATTGCCACCTCCATATGAAGCCAACCACAGAATTTTACAGCATAGACACAAGGCATGTAGCCCATCACTCTTATTTTGAACTTTAAGATCCAAACAAACCTTTCCCTCGCCTTTACTTAACTTCATCCCATCAATCCCCTTTATTCTTTCTACCCTCATGTTTATATCTAGATCCCCTTCAATGTATCTACTTGCCTCATCTATTGCACCTGGCAGGAAATTGCACACTCTCTGAATGAAGTTTCTTGTGTTGTCCACAAAGTTAAACCCCATAGAATAAAAGGGACAATAACAATAAGAATGCAATGTTGGCTCACTGACAGTGTTAGTAAATAATTGTTTCTCAGACTGAGGTCAGTATTTGGACTACTCTTAATCTATATTAATTATCTTGACATAGGTGTAGCGCAGGTCACAATTACAAAAGTTACAAATGACCCAAAGCCAGAAGAACTGTGGTAGACAGCAAGAAGCTGTAGATAGTGAAATGCTCCCATTCAAGGCATTACAATTTAATGCAAGGAAATGTGAAATGATGGTGGCAGAATGAGAAAAGGCAAATAAAACATACGATTCTTAAGGGGGTGCAAAATGATAAACACTGGGATTATATGTGTACAAATCACTGAGGGTGACAAAGTTTCTGAAAGCAGTTAAAGCATCCAGAATCCTGAGATTTAGTGGTATACAGTACAAAAAGAAGGAAGTTGTGGTGAACCTTTATAGAAAACTGGTTCAGGCTTAACTGAAGTAGTGTTCAGTTCTGGCCATTACATCATGAAAGATCCAAAGACATTGGAAAGAATGCAGAAAATAAATAAGAAGAAGGGTGCTGAGAATGAGAGACTTCAGGTATGTAGAGTGATTGTGGAAGCCAGAATGGTTCTTCTTAGATAAAAGTAAAATATTGTGGATGCTGGGAATGTGAGACAAACACAGAAAATGCTGGAGAAGTTCTGTAGGTCTGGTATAATTTGTGAAGAAAGAAACAATATTAATGTTTTGAGTCCAGTATGACTTCTTCAGACTGAAAATAAGTTCTTTAAATTTTTAACAGAGGCAAAGGAAGAACAAGAGAGCAGATGGTGTAGAAGCCCAATGCAAAAGACAAAATTGTTGTTAATAGTGAAAAAAAGATGTTAAATGTGTGTAAATTAAGGTGTGAAAGGGAGAGTATTAATCCACTCTACTAAATGCAAAGTAGACAGGACACAAACATGACACAGTTGTGTGTGTGTGTGTGTGTGTGTGTGTGTGATGGGTGGTGAGGGTGGAGAATGTAAGAAAAAGAACAGGCATGCTACAGTTTCTGAAGTTATTGCATTCAATATTGAGGCTGCAAAGCTGTAAAGAATCTAAGAGAAAATGAGGTCCTTTTACTCAAACTTGCATTGTGCTTCATTGTAACAGCATAGCAAGCCCAGAACTGAAATTTTAGCATCAGAACACGATGGTTTATTGAAATGACAAGCAACTGGGGGGTCAGGGTCATTCCTACAAACACATTGGAGGCATTCTGCAAAGCGATCACACAGTGTGCATTTGGTGGCAGGGTGGCTCAGTGGTTAGCACTGCTGCCTCACAGCGCCAGGGACCCAGGTTCAATTCCACCCTTGGGCGACTGTCTGTGTGGAGTTTGCACATTCTCCGTGTCTGCGTGGGTTTCCTCCGGGTATTCCGGTTTCCTCCCACAGTCCAAAGATGTGCAGGTGAGGTGGATTGGCTAAGCTAAATTGCCCGCAGTGTTCAGGGGTCTGTAGATTAGGTGGTTTATAGGGGGATGGGTCTGGGTGGGATGCTCCAAGGGTCAGTGTGGACTTGTTGGGCCGAAGGGCCTGTTTCCACACTGTAAGGATTCTATGATATATGATCTATGATTTAATATAAAAAGGAGGCAGCATTGTCTGCCGAGAATACAGTAGACTAGATTGAAAGGAATGTAGATGAAACACTGCTCCACCTGGAAGATGTGCACGAGGCCTTGGAAATTGAGGAAGGAGGTGGTGAATAGGCAAGTGTTACACCTTCTGCGATTGCACGGGAAGGTGCCATGAGGAGTGATAAAATGTTAGGAGTGATGGAGGACCAGGGTGTCACAAATGGAATGGTTCCTACAGAATGCTCACTGTGCAGGGAAGGTGGTGTTTGGTGGTGGCATCCTGTTGGAAATGGCAGATATGGCAAAGGATGATCCTTCGCGTGCGGAAAGTAGTGGGGTGGAAAGGAAAGACAAGTGTTGCCCTGGAAGGAGAGAAAAAGTTTGAGGGAAGAAGTGTGGGAGATGGGTCAGATACAGCTGAAGGCCTTGTCATAGAAACAGAAAATTGGAGCAAGAGAAGGCCATTCAGCCCTTAGAGCCTGCTCTGCCATTCATTATGATCACGATTGATTATCCAACTCAATATCTACTCCTGCTTTGCCCGCATATCATTTGATGCCTTTAGTCCCAAGTGTTATATTCAAATCCTTCTTGAAATCATACAATGTTTTAGCCTCAACTGCTTTCTGTGGTATCATATTCCATAGGCTCACCACTCTCTGGGTGAAGAAATTTCTCCTCACCTCAGTCCCAAATGACCCACCCAACATCCTTAGACTGTAACGTCAGGTTCTGGACTAGGGGCCTTCAGGAACATCCTTCCTACATCTACCCTGTCTAGCCCTGTTAGACTTTTGTAGGCTTCTCCACCACCACCCTAGTTCTTCTGAACTTGAGCTAATATAATCCTAACCACTTCAATCTCTCCTCATATGTCAGGCCCATCATCCCAGGAATCAGTCTGGTAGACCTTCAATGCATTCCCTCTAGAACAAGAACATCCTACTTCAGATAAGACCACCAAAACTTCTCACAGTATTCCAGGGGTGGTCTCACCAATGCCCAGTATAATTGCAGCAAGACATTTGCGGAGGTGGGTGGAGGGGGAGGGTAGATAGAGGATACGAGAAAAATGGACAACAGACATAATGCAGGGTGCAGGGCTGGATGAACACAGCAGGCCAAGCAGCATCATAGGAGC